AGGACAACACTCTGATTTTGCGTTGACTACAGAAAGCTGAACCAAGTCACAAAGCGTGATGTTTACCCACTTCCGCGGATCGATGATGTCTTGGATAAGTTACGCAATGCTCACTTCTTTTCATCACTGGACTTAAAAAGTGGATATTGGCAGATGGAGATGGACGAACGAGATTGCGAGAAGACGGCATTTGTGACCCCAGACAGACTATACAAGTTCAAAGTGCTGCCTTTCGGTTTGTGCTCTGCTTCCGCTACGTTCCAGAGGATGATGGACACTGTGCTCTTCGAACTCAAGTGGCAATCGTGTCTCGTCTACCTTGACGATGTAGTGGTTTTTTCTTCTACCTTCGAGCAGCACATCCACCGACTGAGAACGGTACTGGATGCCATTCGTGTGGCAGCACTGACCATGAAACTGGGAAAGTGTCACTTTGGATTTCGTCAGCTTAGGTTCCTCGGGCACATAGTTGCTGCAGAAGGCGTCCGCCCGAACCCGGAAAAGATTGCAGCTTGAAAATTTTCCGAAACCGCAAGACAAAAAAGCCGTCAGACGATTCTTGGGACTAGGTGCCTACTACAGATGCTTTGTTGAAAACTTTGCTAAGGTACCTGAGCCTTTGACACGGCTAATGAAAAAGTGTACCATTCTCTTGGCGGGAAGAACAAGAAGCAGCTTTCTCAGAGTTGCAACGCCGTTTACAGTCTCCTCCAATACTTGCCCATTTTGATGAAGAGGCCGACACAGACATACATACCGACGCGAGTAACGTTGGTCTCTGTGCCATCCTCGTTGAGTGGCAGAATGGAGAAGAAAAGGTCCCCGCTTACGCGAGCCGCATTATCGGATGCCGAGTCCAATTACTCAGTGACTGAGAAAAAGTGTCGACTGATAAAAAGTTTCACCCATACCTCTACGGGAGACCGTTTCAAGCAATCAGTGATCATCATTCATTGTGTTGGCTGGCACATATCAAGGACCCTTCAGGAAGACTAGCTAGATGGAGCCTATGTCTGCAGGAACATGACATCACTGTGGTCTACAAGTCTGGCCTCAAGCACAATGACGCCGATTGCTTGTCTCGCGCACCTGTGGAGTCTCCGTCATCTGACGAAGAACAAGACATCCCATTTCTTGGAGTTCTGAATGTATCGAAGATGGCTCATCTTCAGCGAATGGACCCGGAACTACGCCCGCTTATCCAATACTTGGAGGGTCACCAAATTAAGGTACCACAAGTTTTCATCCGTGGTGACATCTTATATCCTCTGGAATGATGTCCTATACAAGCGCAACTTCGGAAACAGCGGTGAGACGTTTCTGCTTGTTGCACCATCATCACTGCGAGCAGAAATCTTAGAAGCGAGTCATGACGACCCATCGGCTGGCCATATGGGTAGAAGTCGCACTTTGGCCAGAATCCGCCGGAAGTATTATTGGCCGAAATTAAGGGATTCGGTGCACCATTATCTCAAGTCATGCCGGGATTTCCAAAGTCGCGAAATACCACCATCGAAACCAGCGGGTCTGTTGCAACCGATAGAGCCACCAAAAGGGCCGTTTCAGCAAGTGGGAATGAATTTGCTTGGTCCATTTCCTCTCTCCTCATCCGGGAAGCGCTGGATTGTTGTAGCAACAGACTACATGACTCGATATACGGAGACATCACCTCTCGCAAAAGGAACGGGGAATGAAGTAGTCCAGTTTTTCGTCACTCAGATTGTACTATGACATGGCGCACCGCAGGTTGTCATAACAGACAAAGGAACATCATTTACTGCCCGTTTGATGCAGTCTGTCATGAAGCTCACGCACATGAACCATAGAAGGACTACAGCATACGGTCCCCAAACAAACAGATTAACCGAAAGATTTAACAGAACTCTCGCTGACATGACCTCGATGTATGTGGACGTTGAGCACCAGACATGAGACAGTATTTTGCCTTATGCTACATTTGCGTACAACACCGTATTACAAGAAACGACACACTTCACACCATTTCAACTTGTTTATGGTTGGATGGTCACAACGACCTTAGACGCGATGTTACCTGTCAACGATTCGAATGAGGGTGACCCAGACATCAGAGACTACATTCCTATTCAACAGACAAGCACCTGATGAAAAGAGGAACTGTTCGATGAGACAACCTCGTGCATCACATCGACAGTCACACCATAAAATACTGTGCGCATTCAGGTCCCCTAGAACCAGATTAAGTTCTGGTAACTCATCTATTATGGACTGGAATTCATGTTTTTCCAGGCCGTGTTGCGGCGGTATGTGAAGAGAGCAGATGGTGACGAGCTTATTCAATAGAACTGCTCGAACAGCCACTGCCTCAAGGGATGTTAGTAGCGGTACATGAATACATACTACTCCTCGATTAACAACAATGGCTACACCACCAGATGACTCTACAGCATCATCTCTGTCCTTTCGGAAGATAACATACTGACGCAAAAAATTTGTATTCTTGGATTTTAGGTTTGTTTCCTGTACACACAGCACTTTTGGAGAATGTTTGTGTAGAAGTTCTTGGACATCGTCGAAGTTTCGAAGTAGTCTTCTGACGTTCCATTGTATAATTTGTGTCTGCATATTGAGAATAAAGAAGTGCTGTGTGTACGAAATGAGTGTGGCTGGTGTCTCAAAGAGAAAAGTGACTTTTTTTACAGAGCCCTTAGGAGGCCCTGCGATTACCGTTTTGTCTTTTTTAGAGCACTCGAGGGGATCTTGCCGCTCCTTTGGTGCAGTCTGCGCCGGTGCATTCGATGTGTCCATCGACTCAGGAGAGACGACAGACAATGTTGTTTTCGTTGTAGGCTTCGTCGTGACAGACGGAGCCCTAAACCCCACCGGGATGGAGGTCGAGGGGACCTCTTTAGTTTGTGTGATGCCCTGGCTGCTGCCAGGGTTCACAAGGGCCTTCGGTGGGACTGTATTCAGAGAGGACAGGGCAGCCGAGGCTGCTCTCCCCGTGGGGGCTTGTGGCGTTTGTCTCGGCACGCTAGGCGTGGCCCAAGGCATTGCCGAAAACCGAAGTGGTGATGACCCCCCTCGCACCACTTGGGCATACGATGTATCTGCTGCAAAATGCGGGGAAACGCGCTGCCGCGCTTCATGGAAGCATATGTTCAATTTAAACTTTGTGATGATTATTTCTTTTTCCCTTTTCCAGGCCACGCATGACCTGGAATATGCGGGATGGTCACCCTCACAGTTTGCACAGTGGACTTGTAACTTACAGTCATCGTCAGCGGTATGACCTTTGGTGCCGCATTTCAAGCAGGTAAGCTGTCCTCGGCAGCTCTGGGAGCCATGCCCGAAACTCTGAAACTTAAAGCAGCGCGCGGGTTGCGTATGTATGGTCTGACTGGCAGTTCAAGATATCTTGTTGTTATTTCAGTGGGGAGAGTGTTAGATGCGAAAGTGAGTATGATGTGTTTCGTTGGGGTTTCTTTCTTTTCTTATTTTGATACGCTGCACCTGAACGACATTTTCGTCTTTCAAGCCTGTTAGAAGTTCATCATCAGAGAGGTCCATCAGGTCTCCATCTGATACAACACCCTTCACAGTGTTCATGGTTCGATGCGGTGTAATGGTGATAGGCTGATCACTAAATGATGTAAGGTTATGTAGTCTCTGTTACTCTGCGTGGTATTTCAATTCGAGTAGCAGGTCACCACTGGCGGTCTTTAGGCTTTGTAGCCCGTGCCTAGTGTTTCTATAAGACATTTGGACACAAGGTAAGGTGAAATGCTTCTGGCTTTCTTTTCTGTGCTTTCACTGTGGATGCTGTGGCATTTCGGGAAGTTATCTTTCTTGTTTAGGAGAAATTCGAGAATTGCATCGGTGCACCACCTCTTGAAGGGGCGATCGGTTGTGAGGGGGCTAGGAGTTCCGATAATTAGGTAGCTTATTCGGCGGCCATGCCAGCCACCCACCTCCGAGCCCAACAAGGGGACACTACGAGACACAAAGGAGACTCAAGCGCCAGCCGTACATGGCTGCTATAACCTAATATATCTACCCAAGGTTGGATATCTACACCAGGTTAACCCTTGCTGCCGGGAATGGTGGAAGTAAAAAGAAGTGAGGAGAGCACAGGAAAGATCAAAAGTAGTAGAAAAGACGAAGATGGAGAGAGAGAAGGAGACAGGAAGAGGCGACTGCCGATTTCTCCTCGGTGGGTCAGCCCAGGGGTGCGGTCTACGTGAAGCCGGGGCCAAAGAAGTGTGTTGCTTCTGCCGGGGGGCCTCAAAGGTCCAATCACACAGCGTCAGCTCAACCCCCAAGATCCCCTTTTCCCTGGACACGGCTCAGCCACGCACGGCTAGGCATGGGAGAGGTCGAAACCCCCTGTTAGCTCGGGTCCGTAATGTCGCTACACACCAAACGCCTGCTTGCACAGAAGCCCCTGCGGTAATGCGAGTGGGTTCATTAAGCTAGTATATACAGTACACGCATGTTCACGAAAATCGATCCCGTAGGCTATCTTGGCCACAAAATTTTGTTCCAGTACCCCCTTTAAGATCTTGCATTAGAAATTCAACACTGCGTTTTAACTGCTGGCACCTTAAAAGAGCCGTGCAAAGATGTTTCAGCATGGTCACAAAACACTATGAATCAGTAGTCAAGGTTCGTTAGAACACGCGAGCCAAACATTAAAGTGCAGCCTGCATACTAGAATTTACCCCTAATTCCTAAAGCCACCTAGAAATCCCTCACTCTTACCTCAACAAATGATGAAATAAACTCAAATGACTGCAGCCACTGCAACGTGCTCATGTGCTTCGCTTAAGGTCACATTGGATTTGAAGAATAAAAAAAATGCTTGAGGTCATGATGCGTGTTGACAACCCAAAGTAGCTTCTTGACCCCTTGTATACCCCACTTTAACAGCCGTATCTGACCCACATTTACTTACCCACTTTTTATCAGCACATGCCATTGTAACTAGAAAACTTTCGCTAGTCTGAAAAGAAAAAGAGTACCTGTGCTACAGGTATTCCAGGACCTGCTGCCGCGGTCACAACCCCTGAAGGTACCTGGGGTGCCAAAGGTGGAGGGGCAGCAGAAGGTGGTGCTGCCGTGGGAGGTACCACAGAAGGGGGCAGTGCGGGGCTATCAACCTTGTGTCGAGGAGATAGCTGTGGGTCCAATCGTTTGCGAAGCTCTTGGTCCTTCAGTATTATACCTGGCTTGAAGTCATTGATGTCCAGGTTTAATGTCTTGCACAAAACCTCAATTTCAAACTTCAGGTTCAGCTTCAACTCTGGTTCTCGGTGTAACTCCGACAGTACATCCAAAACTCCCATAGTCCAGGGGTTGGGAGGCTTGAAAACCTGGCAAAATTAGACAGAAACATTTAGCTCTGCAAAGAGTTGCTTAATATGTGCATCCACACACACAAAAAAAGAAACAAGTATAAGCACACCCTGCTTTTTGCACTGGATTCCAGGACTTTGGCAATAAATGGCACCACATAAAGCAGTTCCTGTTGACCTTTATGGTACGCCTCAATAAGTAGCGACTTCAGATCTATGTCCTGAATAGAAAAACGTGAAGAGCATGTAGAATATTTTTGCTGCATTTTGAAGAAAAGAGCATAAAAAGTGATGCTTACAGCTTGAAGCACAGGCCTATTTTTTGCTATGGTTAACATTCCTAGCCAATGACCGAGGCTTTTCAACAAAGATCGGTCAGAAAAATTGGCTATTGCCTTATCACTGGTCAGAAGAACCTGAAAAAGAAAATTGCAAACATATAAAAAAAGCCAGGAAAGTCTCATGTTCTGACTGATACAAATTAAATGAATAATAAACACTTACTTTGATATTGCGAAATGTTTCCCGGAGCACAAGCACTGAAAGCTCCTCATTCTTGACAGTATCCAGAAAATTGGCATACAGAGTATGAAAATTAGGTTCAATAGATGCTCTCTTCATCACTATGTACTGGGCAAACCAAGGCCAATATTCCTCTTTCACAACCTCCTTGAACTCCTCAGTCTGTGCAATTTAAATGAATGTAAACAGAAATTTTGCAGAACAAGACAGTAAACTGTAAGGCTTCCACATACCTTCTGGGGAAGATTCATCTGGGAAAGATTGTTGATGATAAAGGCCACTTTGTCTTGGACAGCTTCTGGAGGTATTAGCAGCTTATCATCCTTTTGAGTGGCAACCAGCAATGTATCTATGTTTGTGGGGTTGGCAATGGATGGCTGTTCATGTGGAGATTGAAAAAAGTGTGTCAGGGTACCAATAGACAAAAGAAAGCTTTGCTTGACGCTAACGGTATTTCACACTCAGTAAAGACAAAGCATGCCCTTCGCAAGCCACTAACCATATCCCGTTTCTCATTTGGATCGAATGGCCTCAAGAAGTACTTCTGATCGAAGACTCGAATGGCAGTGAATGATGAACATGGCGGAGAACTGGGACATGCATCCTGCAGGCAGCCAGCAGTTCCACTTAATTGACAGTGCTGCATAGTGCTGGGCAATACAGTGAAGCGTGTTAAATGCATTAGCAACCACCACCCTCTAAAGTCGCACAGCATGCTCTACCCCCACATGCAAGGAGTTCACCTTCAGTTGAACGTTGTTAACACCAAGGCAAAACAGTGCAGGAGGTAAGATGCACGTGGAAGGTTTCACTGGTACTCCTGGAATACGCACAGGTGTTCAGGCGGGAGTGGTCATGCCCAAAGACATTATAGTCACAGGAAGCTAGACAAGAAAAACAAAGCAACAGAGGCAAAAACACAAGCACGTCATGCAATATACTGTGTGAACCAGATGATTGCTCTCGGACTAACAGGAAGTATGACAAACACACACATGAAAGCCTGCGAGCTGCAACACATACTTCACTTTAGTTTACACAAAGCAGAAAAGCTCAGGAAGACTACCGTTTTTAAAGGGGTCATGACACCCAATTATAGGTTTTCATAGCATATATACCTATTCGAACTATTCTTACCAATACCAGTATAGCTCCTATAGAGTGCAATGAATTGAAAGCACCCCTGTTGCTTCACAATTGTGCAACTATTCCCACATGACACATCATAAACTGGTACTCTAAACAAACCAGAGTAGACACAAAGAGGAACCATGTTTACTTTACACGTTTGGCCTGGTTTTATTTAGCTGCACAATGTGATGAAGGCATCACCCATGACATGTTTCAGGTTTCTTTCACCAAAACATTCCCTTTAAGAGATGAATTTGCCATCCAAATATTGTGTTTGCCAAATCGTTTCCTAATTATTTTGATGACCCTAGACAGTTAAAGTAGACAGATTATTCTTCTCTCGCCCAGAGAGTCAGTTCATTGGCGCAATCATCATTGTTGGCAGTGTCCATGCATCTCATAATTTTTACGCATGGCCTTCGTGCTCCTCGCTTGTCAATTAAGCGTGACGAGTGTGGTCAGTTTTTTCACACTTCCAACTTTTGGTGCTGCTATGACTATACACAGAGTGATTACACTTATGTAAATGATGCCATTTTCACTTCAGCAGTTTTGTCAGTCAATGAGACCATGGCTCAGTGTTCCAACACGAGCGCTGCTGATGAAATTAGGAAGATAAAGCACAGTTCACATTCAGATATATTTTCACTTTAGTGAGATGTTCGGCTGTCCGCTGGCCATGATGACACCGCACTGTGCCAAATGTGCTAAGGCCAACAGCCAAAAACATCACTGCTCTGAGACTATAGTGCATCCTACAATAACCTCACGAAAGAGAATGTACAGCCAAAAATGACCACTTGAGAATAGTGCCCCAGGTGCCAGAGCCAACACCTTCATCGGCTGTAGCAGCACCAGATTTATCAAGATATACAGTGGACTCTCACTAAATGGATGTCCTGTTAAATAGAACATACTTTCCTGGTCCCTTCAGGTTCCTTTTAAAGTTTACTGCATATACTCGAGTGATGAAGGCCGAAGCAACATCACTGTGCTAACACTTGAAAAGCACCTCGCACTAATAGGGCATGAGAAAATGCACCATGTAATGCAGCTGGTGTTATTGTTTAGAATTTTTAAAATCGTAAACAATAAAATAAAATTACGTTCACTTCAACATCACTTTTCTTTTTAAGATTTCCAGTTTATCATTCATGAAAAACGTATCGGCATAATTCTACTATATGTTTTGCTCACTCAAAAGCATGATAAAGCATAACAAACAAGACGAAGAAAATGATAAAGGTTAAGAGGTGGGTGGCAGAGTTCTTTGGTTCATCTATTTCACACCATATTTCTTTTAACAAGCAACACTGACAGAAATGAGGAAACGAGCAAGGAAGTCCGTGAATGCAAAGTACTATGAACTACAGCCATGCAATTGAACCTATTGAAAGACTGAAACAGCATGCATGATATAGACTCTGCATTGTACTTCAATATAGCATCATTACAGAACATTAACAAACACTAGACAGAAAAAAATAAGCAACTGTAGCATCTAATTGCAAAATCACGCAACACAGAACACTGCAAGAGCTCTTTGTTTTGAAAAAAAAAAACATTTTTTATATCAGTTGTTTTGACTGAAACAATCTCACATGACAGGTTATCAAAAATGACATTTCAATGTAGTCAAAAGCAACTTTTACTTAAAAAGTAAATAACAAAAGAGAACCAAGTCTATAGACAAAAACCAGGTACAGTGAAACCACGATTTCATGACTTTAAACAGACCATGCAAAGCCATCAAGTAATTCATGTGTCTTAAAATCGAAAAACCAAAAACATAGGCAGTGACACTTAGCCCTGCACAAAAATTTGGTAGACACTGGCCCAAAATTATTTTTGAAATGGCAGTTAGACATTCAGGTAAAGAAGGTGTGAGCTAATTTCATTTCTTGAACTTTAAAAATAATCTAAGCTAACACACATAGTTATTCCCGATAAATCAAATCTGGAAACTGGCTGTGCATAAAAATATAACTCAAACTGCATTAGCAAAAGCCTCCCAAAAGAATAGTCGGATATAGCATCATCGCCATCACGCTACGATGACAGAGCACACTTTTTTGCGAGTTTACGTAGAATGATTTCGTACATGACTGTGCATTGTGCATGGTGTTTGTTCCCTTGTGAAGTGATTATTGGTGATTTGCCACTGTAACAGCCACTCAATGGGAAGTCATTTTGCATGGTTAAAATGGCTGCATAATGTCCTTCTGCGTGCTTGATACCTGTGACTGCAAGTGCCACAAACAAAGGGAGATCTTAAGCTGTATGTCAACCAGGAAAAGTTTCCACTGACTGAAATTGTGAGAATATTAGTGGTGTGCGAGTATTTGAAATTTTGAATTTTTTTTAATTGTGTATGCTATTCGATTTAATTAATAATAAATTTCTCTAGTCGAAACTAATCTAACTTCCCGAAAGCAAATACACTCAACATGGGATTGGCAGCGGACCCTTCATATTTTCAATATGCTTCATCCCATCACTCGTATTGCAGCACAGCTGCCTTTCAAACATTGCTACTGTCGCAAATATATTAACTCAAGAGAACGCCCATTTCAACAAAGAGATGATAGATGCCACAAAGGTGAGGGCTCAATTAATGCTGTTTTGGGAATAAAATCTGGGCAGGAAGATTGAAAAATCAGACAACGAACATTTTTTAGCACCCAGAATCTTAGATGTTCGAAGTATTCGAAAAATATTCTAGAAATAATAGAGAAACATTAAAAAAATATTCAACTTGATTCACACTTCAATATATTCAATTTTGCTTAGCACTCAAAATTTTGATATTTGAACAGCTCTAGAAAATAGCATATTTCAAAGACGAACTCTCCAACCAGCTGCAACTACTCCACGTCAATAAAGCTTGTCTAGTAATGCACGTAATCGAGGCATATTTAGAAGTAGCATATTTAGAAGTAATCTTAATACCAGGAAAACTGGATCACAGAAGTGATGAACTGCCAGGAGAATAAATTTTTCATTCGAAAAAGTTCCCTCTCACTCCTTCTAATCGTCAACCTAGGGGAACGTAATTATTTAGCACCAGAGAATGTTTGGTAGATTAGACAAGTAAATCTCAAGCCTAATCCATCTTCCCTTACCCCCAGCTACTCGTCAAAAAAACACGGGATGGGCTTAAACTTGTGTCATATAACCAAGCCAAGATTTTCAATACATTATTTCTATGAGGGTTCTGCTGGAACAAAACATATTCGTTCTAAAATGCTTGTCATTGAGATACAATGGGACGCATAAATGAGGTTTCACTGTAAGTGGAAAACCAATTCAAATTGTCAAGACAAGAAAATGCTCCCAAAAAAAGGACACAATTTGTATCTTTATGCATCCCACAAATTTTATAGAATACTTATACTTTCATGCGATAGTAATTAAAACTAATAGACAAAGAAAAACAAGCCCCTAAGTTTCCATTTCTTTCCTATAGTATCATAGCTATTTCTGGACTTCTGTATTATGATTGGTAAGCACTAGACAGAGAAAAGGCAATACAGTAGACTCGTGACAATTCAAGCTTTGATGATTTGTACTTTCAGTTATTTCAAACAAAATTCAATTTTTTTGGTTGGTCTTTTATTGTTTCAATGTATTTAAAAGCCTCTTAATTCAAACTCCATCATTCAGTTAATTCATAATTTTTGCAGTTCCATACCAGAAAATATCTGCTGCTTTCCCACTAATGTTTAAAAATTTGTGTGCTTATATAATTCTAACAGTCTGAAAATGAAAAATAAGCACCTCAGACCTTCAAGGTAAAAGGCTTTGCTAGTAAACAAATATATGAAACAAAGCACACGTATGGTAAAACGTGATGCTTCTCAACTGGTTTAGAGAGTGTTGTTCTAAAGGCACATACCTATAGCAAAGAAGCAGTTGGCTATTCACAATTTCTTTAAAAAGTCTGATCAGAAGTAAATGGCCAATAAACTTGTGGACCTTATGTCTCTGCTTTTTCTGTTCATTGTGCGCAGTTAGGGTTTAAAAACACTTTAGAATTTTTAAATAAGATAAAATAATTGCTCAATCATAATGTGTCGTGCCACCTCACCCAGTGACAAGAACTTCTTATAATTCAAACAAAATTCAGAGGTCTCTTCGAGTTTGAATTGACAAGAGTCGACCGTAATACATTTATTAAAGGGGGAAAATGGACTTAAAATGGCTAATATTACAACAGAATCTTTTAAATGTCTATTTCAAGAAATAACATTTTTGAAGCATAGTCCAAATATGAGAGAATATTATATTATGGCAAAATAGCCTTTCTTCTTTTCAAAAGCTTGATACACAAAATTAAAAATGTTTTGAACTTGAAATGTCTTCTCAGCTTTGTTATTTTTGTGAGGTGCCTCTATCTTAAAGGGCCAGTGTACAGGCTTCAAATTTTTTTACACCCCCCAAACAAGCTCACCAATTCGTACAGTAGAGTGCGGCTGTCAAATTCGCTGAATATTACAGCGCAGAACAACGTGCAGACCCTTCATTTCGAAAGGCAATCCCTCACCTGACCGATCCTCCTCAAACATACATTTCAACGAAAGCTGGCCCATGGGCAACGCTATGAACTTACGGACCACTGAGGTCGTCGATTGGTTTTTTGCCCTCCGAAATGGTGCCTTGTCCCTGCGGCAATGCAGTTTCAGCCACCCAGTCTGCATTTTCATTTTTCTGCACCGCCCTCTGCGGTTTTGTAGATACCACTTTTCCCTAGACCCCGGGAAATGTGGTATTCCCAGAACAAAAGCCTCCTAGATAAAGAGGTGTCTCACCACTTTACCGTGAGGAGATAGATAATCCTAGCTCAGCGTATTCTGCTTGCAGGTTTTGAGGCCATTTCTATATGAACAGAATGCTTTCTAAATGAGATATTTAAAATTTGTATGCAGTTTTGAGTCTCCATCCAATGATGTACACTTATGACAATTTTCATTAAGAAGCCGAATTTCACCCACATCCACCCTAAGTAATTTCACAAGATTAGTAAACTGCCTAATGTGTTTGAAAGTGCAGTTTCCATCATATCCGTCCGAACAAATGCACACTACTGAATTCTAACATTGGTGATCAGTTCTGGATGCACACTCATCCACACCAGCCACTTACCTTTCCCCCAACTGTGGTGGACTTTGCGAGCACTACCGTGGTAGCTGTCACACCTGCACTGGACGTAGGCACTGCAGCAGGTGCCGCTCGTACTGCTGAACTTTGGGGTGCTCCTGCTGGGTTTAGACCCTGAGCCAACATAGCCAGATTGTGAGGCAAGGTCTGACCCTGGGGACGATTCACAGGCTCCTGAGACCGTGCACCACAGTCAACATACTGCAAGAGAGCACCATAAGCACAGGAAGCATGGCATTTTGCACCTAACCGTGGGAGACAACGCGGTAGTTACTTTACCTCTCTTAGATGTTCAGGAAAGTCCTTGAAATGTGGAATGGATGCCAAGTGCTGGCAATACTGTGGGTAGTCTTTCAATCTAGACCAGAAAGAACAATACCTTACTGATGAAGGGCTGCTTGACAATATCCTTAAAGTAAAAATCAATATTGCAAGCACTTTGGAAGCTCTGAAAATACAAACAGAAGCATCTTGTACCAACATATTTTTGTCCGTGAAGTTCACTTGTTCCGAACTGCAAAGGTAATGTTTTGCAATGAACTACAAGAGTACAGTAGAATTTCGATGATACGATTGCGGTTGATGTGAATTTCACGATACGAATTTTAAGGTTCTTTTGGATGGACTACATTATACAAAATACATCGTGATTTGGTGTTATATGAACAGGTTTTTTAGCCACAGTGGATGATACGAACGCGGATTGACCACTGTACGTGAACGGCGCAGCACAACTTGCCTGTGGTAAGAAGGCCCCTTCACACTGAGCCTCGGAGGGAGTGAACGCGGCAAAACTCACGGAAATTTCCCTGCTTCCCTGCCGAAGTCGCCAGAAAACCACGCCGCAAGGCTGACACGAAGCAATCCGCCAGGGCCAAATTTTTCCGCCACGCGATAGCATATAGCTTATTTCCTTTATGGCTTGGGCTACACCGGCTGCATTAGGTCTCAAACTGCGCGATGTAAATAACGAGCCGCAAATTCAACATGGTGGCAAAGGGGTCAGCAGTGGCTCGTGCTGGCGCAATTGCGAATTATCCGTCCAGCACGACAAAGCTCCTGGTCTTGACAAGGACGCGTTCATTGAGAGCCTGGTTTGGATTACTATCGCTACAGACACCGGAATTAGAAGAAAGTGCATTAGAAGCAAGACATCATCCTCTAACACGCCTCGCTTGCTTTTGTACTGGCAGCTGAATGCGTCGCTGCCGCTGCCAGTGCGTCCACTCTTGTTGTTACTGCTGGTGTATCTCTCAAAACAACGTTTGTACTGGTGTAAACTGTTTGAATGCTTTGCATGAACAATTAGAACTCGGTACGATTTTCAATGCTCAGGAAACGAGAAAAATAGAATGAATTCTCAAGTGGCAAAGGTGGCGGCGGTAGGCAGAACGAATGTGCACAATTTTCGGTGGGCGCGGACGTGGTTTTGCGGCCACTCTGGCACTTTTGCTTGAATTCTATTATGCGACCAATTTTTATCGAGTCGCCTTTGCGGCGCATTTCCCGGCCGCTTAAGCACCTAAGCAAGTGAATTTCCAATAAGTTTTGCCACTTTCCCTCCTATTGATGCCAAGTGTGAACATACTTTAAATGCCAGCAGCATGAATGAGAAACCATGGCCGTTTAAGAGAGGTGGTGCAGGCAGGGAAGTTCGAAAGAAGATGGACTTTTTTTGTGCAAGTAGTACACTCAAACCTTAATACAACGCAGTTGCATCTTGCAAGAAAATACGCTTCTTATGTCCAAAAATTCGTTAAAAAGGTTATTCTTAACACTATCTAATGCAAGACAATTTTTCATTTACTTTGTTATCACCAACTTCTTGTTATATCTGTGTTCGTTACATTGAAGTTTGAGTGCAGTTGGCCCCAATAATGTTCCTGTTCATCTTCATGATTACCTTTACTGGTTTTTGGTTCATACGAGTACGAGATGATCGAATATTTTGCGTGCTCCCTTCGAATTCTTATCGAGATTATACTGTAGTTCACTGCAAAATAATTCTTAAATTCTAAGTCTTGAAACACTGCTCACCTTGTTACTGTAATATGCAGTAATCCTGGTTAAGCACTGCAACAGTGGAGCAACTGTTGCTTACCACCACACATGTGCTCAGCAGCTGCAATTAGGCTTAGTATGTTAAGCAGGTGAACCTATTGGACAGACCATTTTATGTTCACTTGCAGTTGGTGCAGAAGAGTCAAGGTAGATGCTGCAAGTTTAGACTATGCAGCTGGTGCAAAAGCAACAATCTTGTGTCTTGCCATGCGGTTAAATAATCATTTCTAGCAGTATGCGCGCTAAGCAACAAAACAGCTGGTACAGTTATAGTGTCGTATGAGTGTTCACTTTTTGCAGTTAAACAATTATTAAAACAGGCCAAGGAAGAGACTTTTACAATCAGTTTCCGACTTTTCACACTGAATATAATCAAACAGAATTCAATACCGAAATCAATCAGTTGGTTTCACTAACATCCCATGATGTAATCTGGGCAATAGTCAGTCCCTTTAAGCAACTAATTAATCTATATCTAACACCTAATTACTTTCCAAATTTTACTTAACGTCATGTCTCTTGCTAAAACAACTGCTAGTTTTCGAAGTGGGGTGTGCAGCAACATTGAGGCAGCACTACCCATTGCCAATCACAAAACATCAATGTCTAAGACCAGGGCTCATACTGGCACGTGTACTAATTTTCTATCAGTGTGCTGGATTGGGCTGGTTGATGTATAGTGGCCAAAGAATAGAACAGCCTTTGAGATGAAGACACAGACACTGTGCCGCCTGTGTCTTCATCTACTCCGTGTCTGCAGCATCATGTCTGTCTTCACCTCAACCCACCTTTAGCGCTGTTTTATTGCTCATGCATTTGTTTTTTTCTTTGGAATGAAAACTGCAAGCAATATTAATAGTCTAGTAAGTTATTGCATTTGCATTGTCAGTTTTTCTCCTCTTGCATCTATCCATGTCTGCACACTTAACAGTTTTTATGACTGAAAGCACATTACCACCTCTACTTTCTGCCACTACACTATAACCTCATTACAACAGACCTGTCATAGTGAAGAGGATTTGGGTCTGTTGTGAGAGGAGTATGTTAAATCCAAATACTTTTACAACTGACTTTTATTGAAACACTGAATAGGTCTGTTATAACTGGAGAGAATCACGAGTCGGGTTGAATCTATTCTTAATGGGGCTTAAAAAGGTCGATTTTTCGGAAATCACTCTTCAGTGTCTATAGCCTTCTTCTACCCGATACCGAAATATCTTCACTGAAAATTACGTAGAAGTCCTGTAAAAAGCTTTATGAGCTTGCCGAGGCAGTGAAAATCATCGTGGAAATCACAAACACACACAAAAAAATGGCGTTTTCCAAACATATATAGCTTCGCGGTGGCACGACTGCCCACCCCCAGTTTGGGCTTATTGAAAAAGTATTTTGTAAAAAGCATTTCGTGTTCAAAAAGCAGATGTTTTAAATTCATTTGGAGTATTCCGAATGGCTGCTCTTGCCCTATTGCTCCAGTTTGCCTTGCTAGTGCAATGCCCATTCCGGATACGCCTCCCGGATAGCATCGTCTGCTTCTTGTGCGTCGCGCGGCCGCAGCTGTCTAAAATCGCACTACTTAGTGACATTTTCACGCTCGCTCTGTGTTTGCAGGTTGTTAAAGCATCTGAAAACAGAAGTTCAGACTTCAGATTACGATCCCAAGCAGTACTTGTCGCAAACACATGAGAGCTCGAACTCAGACGGGTGAACGCGCCAGCAGGCAGTTGCGCCTCGTTCACGACACTAGGAAAACGTTTCTAGCCACTATAGTCAAGCCCACGCCATTGGTTCAAGAGTAGCAGCTGAATGAAATGCAGCACAAAGTTGTTGAATTATCGCTCAAGGGTGCTTGCTAATCTCTTATAACAAATTTCTTTTGGAGTTCAATGTTAATGATAAGTTTTTCTTTGTGTTTCACATCAAGGCGTTTGTCACTTTGTTAGGCATTGCGACCTAAGTTTCAGAAGCAAGACGTTTCAGTGCTCCAAGCAGGCACATTTCAATGTCAAATTAGAATATTAATGCGAGAGGTGCCTTGGTGCTGCCGAGTTCAGAACACTTAGACCAACCTTGTATCATCCAGAAAGCCGTGAAGGCTGTGTGAGAGCAACTGCTCCCAGTGGCACATTTAAGCTTACATGTCATCCTGTCCACACAAATGAGAAAGATTTATACCAAGCTGATGAACAGAGGTCGCTGGAATAGCCTGCTAGAAACGCTTTAGTATCAGGCTAAGCTTTGCTGCTGTGAGGGGGCCACATAGAGTCTCTGAATTTACTGTAATGGCACTGCTGTATATATTCAGCATGTATCAGCAGAAATATTCTACCATTTGATTTTTTCGAATTCCCCAGACTTTTTTAGGATTTCCATGATGATTAAAAGCACATTCCACGACTGTCACGTCTGCTTGGAAAACTCTGTGTGCAGAAAACAAACTCTCGAGTGAAATAAAAATTTTGAAATTAGGCAGGAGCTCCGCGCCGGTTCCTTCACTGAAGTATATTCTAGTTCAATATAACAACTACAGTCCCAGCTGCTCGAGGCGCGAATTGGATTGAACTGACATGGACTGCTGTATTCACTGTTAATTTGCATGCCCGCCTAACTTGCACAACTCTACAATATACTTTTCAGCCGAAAAAAAAATAGCTACTATTCGAGTATTGTGCCCTTTGTCTTGACGATGACTAACGACCATATCATAATAACGAAGCCATAGTGCAAATGCAAAATCCTTTTTTTTTTTTTTCGTGACGGCACATGCGTGTTGGTGTTTTATTTCTCTGAATTTTGACGTGACGCCAGGAGCACGATGGAAGTTTCTCAGATGCCTGCAATGAAAACTGGGGGTAGTGTATAAAGAACTGACATTTGAAAAATGTGATGGCAAGAAGAAATCTGTCATGTCGAAACGACTAACTCAATTCCATAGATGAATCCCGAATGCCAGCGTGTAGCCTTCGTTTACGTACCCTTATATGGACGTGATGCTAAAAAATAATCACAGATTTAAGAACACAATCTCAAGGAGAAATTTAGTTAAAGTTACCCAATGCTACCCTTGAAATACGAGCTACCAGCAGTAAGTGCGTAGCTGAGGATGTTTGCATTACATAGCCAATTATGAAATAAAATAATAACAATAAAAGGCATGACATACCTTGGCAAACCTCTGCTGATGGCAGTTCTAGCCTAACAAGAAGGCCTTCAAGCCAAGCCGAAATCGTGGCCAATACAAGCATGCACAAATTTACCTAGATATTCTGCGAGATATGTAGAAGCAACAGACATTTA